AGAGACACGGTTTCGCCATGTTGGCCAGGCTAGTCTTGAACTACTGACCTCGTGATCCACCCATCTCAGCCTCCCAAAGTGCTGGGATTACAGGCATGAGCCATCGTGCCTGGCCAGATTTTTTTAAATGTTTCATTTCTTGATCTGGGTGGTAGTTAGCGGCTGTATTTATTCTGTGAAAATTCATCAAGTTGTACACTTAAGATTGGTGTACTCCTCTGTATTATGTTATACTTCAATAAATACATACATTTATTTTTGAGGATAGAGCGCCATTAGAAAAATGTCTAGAAGGATACACATTAGTTGTACTCTATTAGTAGCTGCAGCATTAGTAGCTATAATCTATCAACTCTGTAGTGCACTAAGGGATTTCAAATTTTTCTTCTTTCTGCCTGTATTTTATAATTATTGACTATACACTACTACTGTGATTATAATAAAGTTTTTTATTATAATGACAATTAAAACAAAGGGATCACTTCTGACCTTAGAGATGAGAAAATGTGAGGAAATGGTGCCCCCTACTGGATGAGAGGAGGTACAATTTTATACAGTAGCACCATTTTAATTCAAGTTTTCAAAATACAATTTAATAAATCCTCTCTCTCTCTCCCTTAACAGATATTTTATCTCAGAATGAATTGAGGATAGTGCAGGAAATACTCTTATAAATAGCTCCTGGCTACCTCTGCTGGGAGGAGAAGGCCAGGTGCCTTCAAGGGGCAGATCTGGTAAGAGAAACGGGCCATGAGTGTTTGAGACTTCCGACTGGGTCGTCATAGCTCATGTTACTGTTCTGACGAAGCCAACAGTTACTCAGAATTTTCAGAACTCCAAGAACAGCTTGAGATTAAAATGAATCTCAGGCTGAGCGTGATGGCTCATGCCTGTAATCCTAGCACTTTGGGAAGTTAATGTGGGTATATCCACTTAAATCCAGGAATTCAAGACCAGCCTGGACAAAACTTTGAGACATTAACTCTCCAAAAAATAAAAAAGTTAGCCAGGTACAGTGACACGTGCCTGTAGTCCCAGGGACTCAGGAGGCTGAGGTGGAAGGATCACTTGAGCCCAGAAGGTCAAGGCTGCAGTGAGCCATGATCGCACCACTGCACTCTTGCCTGGGCAAGACAGCAAGACCCTAACTCAACAACAACAAAAAACATGAATCCCAGAAAAGAGAAATTACTTTAATTGAGGAATCCAATTCAGTCGAACTCAACTTAATCAAATTCTGTCAAGTCCATTACTTTAAAAAAAAAAAAAAAAAAAACTGGGTATAACATAAATCACCACTGTGTTAATAGTAACTTAGTTGTCCCTGTGTTCACAGTAGCTGAAGTCTGGCCCAACCCTGCCACTACTAACTGGAAGGCAAGCTGATGTACCACTCTGAGTTTCTGTTTCCTTATATGCAAAATGGCATAGTAGCTCCTCCTGCCTTACCCGTCTCTGCTGGAACCCACACTTTAGAAAAAAAAAATTTATTTTGGTATTAAAAAAAAAACCCATTCTAAAATGTATCAGGAAACCTGGATGAAGGATAGCCATGAATTTTTTTGTACTATTCTTGTACCTTTTCGGAAAACAGCAGATTATACCAAAAATTTTAAAAATCTGTATTCAATTTAAAATGGGTAAAACATGTACATGACCAAAAATCTGGATAAAGGAAGGTGTGGAGTGAAAAGGGGGGCTTCCTTTCACCCTGCCCTGCCCATTCCCACAGCTCTCTTTCCCAGAGGCAGTGGCTCTGAGCCACTTTCTTCTCTACCTTATGGTAGGCAACCTGTGTATTAAAAGCACAACCAAAGCATTCCATAGCATGCTTTCTTCACTGAACAATGTTACTTGGAGGTCATCTCACAAGAGCAAATACTGATTTTTGGTGGGACAGTAACCATTCCTTAAATGTAATAATCCTTAGACATGAAGGTCTTAAGCCGTAACAATTTTTCTAAGAATAATCTAAAATGGCCGGGCGCGGTGGCTCAAGCCTGTAATCCCAGCACTTTGGGAGGCCGAGGCGGGTGGATCACGAGGTCAAGAGATCGAGACCATCCTGGTCAACATGGT